ATGCTCAAGACTGCTTGCATAAATGGTTGGGCACCCAAGGTTGTGACCTAGTGGTCAATAAAGTGGTTGAGAATCATGAGGTCTCAGGTTCAATTCCCAGTGGAGACAAAAAAACACTAGGTGATTCTTCCCATTTGTCCTAGCTTTGGCGGACAGTTACCTGCTACTTGTAGCTAGTGGGAGGTGGCAGGTATCCCGTGGAATTAGTCGAGGTGCACGAAATCTGGCTCGGACACCACGGTCATCAAAGAAATGGTCGGGTAAGGGGATTCAAGGTTCCCAGCCAGAATATCTTGGAAAGCCCATACTTGATGTATGCTGCCAACACTCTTGTTTTGTGCGATGCCGAGGAAGAACAAATCAATAGCTTGAGGTTGATTTTTGGTGATTTTTCAGGGAGTTACTGGGTACCAATAAACTGGAGAAAGAACCACTTATTTCCAGTTAATATGGTTCCAACTGCTATGAGTTTAGCTTGAGCTTTAGGTTACCAGGTAAGTAGGCTGCCTACCATTTGCTTGGGATTAGCACTGGGAGCAAGAGATTGAGCTGATAGCATATTGCAAAGGGTCTTGGAAAAATGTGAGAAAAGGCTAGCAAGTTGGAAGAAGCAATATTTTTTTATTTTGGAGGCAGAATAGTGCTGATCAATAGTGTTTTAGATTCTTTCCCAACTTATGTTATGTCTTTATTTTTCCATGCCAGTTAAGATTGAGAAGAGGATTTGCATAAGAAGAATTTATTTTGTGCAAGGAAGTAAGGAGAAGAAATCATTTAATCTGGTAAGATGGAACACACTAGTTATAAACAAGAAGGATGGAGGAATGGGGAGGTTAACAAAATAGAAGGCTTGCTAATGAAATGACTATGGAGATTAACACAGAAGTGGAAGGTCTGAGGGTTGGGTAAGCAGTAATAAATATGGAATTGAGGGACAATGATGCACTAACGAAGTCAGAAGTAGTCATGGAGTATCCTTAAGGAAAGGTATCAGATCTTTACAGCTTGGTTTCTTGAGCAAGACAGCAACAGTGGAAAATGGAAGGAACGCCTCTTTTTGGGGAAATTGGTTTGGACATTGCCCCTTGAAGGCTTATTTCCAGATTTACTTACTTTGGCCACTAGCACTACATCAATATTGTCAGATTTCACTCATAATGGGGGCTGGAACATAAATTTTAGAAGGAATTTCAATTACTGGTAAGTATCTAGAGCTGCTCAATTTCTTGGGCAACTGGATTCCTTTCAATAAGTCGCTGATTCAAAAGATAGTTTGAAAAGGAAGCTAAATAGCAAAGGATATTTTACTGTTAAGTCATGTTAGAGATCTCTTGCAAGAATGGAATGCCAGCTTGAACCTTGGTCATGGAAATCAAAAGCACCGTACTAGATTTCTTGCTTTACATGGATTGTGAACAACACAAGCATGTCTCATGTATGAGAACTTTCCAAAGAGAGGAATAACCTGTGCAGCAGATGTTTCTTTTGGTGAAAACAAGTTGAGTTTGTCAGCCATTTATTTTGCAGTGTTTTAATCACTGTTCAGAATTGAAAGTTCTTTTTAATACAATTGGCATGCAGTGGTTATGGCAAGGGATACCACTGAACTGTTGAAGTTTTGGAACAGAAAAGGGCTGCCAAGAAAGAAGAAGAATCAGTGGAATAGGCTGCCAGAAAAGTTCTTGCTGCATCTAGTGGATGGCTTGTTGGTTTGAGTTTAAAGAAATAGAAGATACTTCAAGGACTCAGCAAACAACACTCAGAAATGCAAATCAAATTGTATGGCTTTGTTTTGTTGTTGGTGTAGAATGGAACATGTAGAGGAGGCTGAATCTATTCTTGAGTTGTTAGAATCACGCCAGGCGTAGTCAGGGTTATACTTCTGTTGGATGTATTATTACTATTATTTTCTTTTGTACAATTACAATTGCACATTCTTAAAATCAAAACAGAAATTATTTCTTTTTATAGGAAGTTGTACAAGGAAAATGAGAACTGGAGACCATCCTTTAATATGAACCAGTGCCCTTCCATCAGCTTTGAGGAGCAACAAGAACTACAAAAGCCTTTTGAAGAAGAGGAGGTCCTTCTTGGACTTAAAGCTTGTGCTGTAGACAAAGCACCAGGTCCAGATGGATACACAATGGGTTTTTTTGTTAATTGCTGGGAGATAGTGAAGGGGGATTTGATGTCTACTATGCAGAATTTTCACTCCCAGGAGTTTTTTGAAAAGAGCTTTAATGCAACATACATAGCTCTCATCCCAAAAAAGAGTGGTGCAAAGGAATTGAGAGACTTTAGACCAATCAGTTTAATTGGAAGTGTCTACAAGTTGATTGCCAAGATTCTCACAGAAAGATTAAAGAAAGTGATGCACAAGCTAGTAGATACTCAACAAATGGCCTTCCTAAGAGGAAGGCAAATAACTGATGCAATCTTAATTGCTAATGAGTGTCTAGACTCGAGAGTGAAGGAAAAGTCCCCAGGAGTCATGTGCAAACTGGACATAGAGAAAGCGTATGATCATGTCAGTTGGAGCTTCCTACTTGAAATCATGCAGAGAAGAGCTTCCTACTTGAAATCATGCAAAGAATGGGCTTTGGATTGAAATGGATCAGATGGATAAAGTTTTGTATAAGCACTGTTAAATTCTCAATACTGATAAATGGATCTCCTGAAGGCTTCTTTTCATCAGACAGAGGACTAAGACAAGGTGATCCTCTCTCACCTTTTCTATTCATTATAGTGATGGAAGGCCTAAACAACATGCTAAAGACTGCTCACACTAAAGGGTGGATAAGGGGCTTTAATGTAGCAAATGAGGGGAATCTAAGATTGGAAGTCACTCATATCCAATATGCAGATGACACTCTCATCTTTTGTGATGCAGAAGAAAGCCAACTTAAGATCCTGCGAGTGATACTCATTCTTTTTGAAGCAACTTCAGGACTACATATCAACTGGAGGAAAAGTCTGATTTTTCCAATTAATGAGGTGAACAGAATGCAACATCTGACAGAGATCTTGGGAGGAGAAATAGGTAAACTACCAACAGTATATTTGGGGATGCCTTTGGGAGCCAAAAGCAAATCCAATGAAATCTGGAATGGGGTGCTGGAGAGATGTGAAAGAAGACTATCTAGATGGAAAGCACAGTATTTGTCTAGAGGTGGAAGATTGACCCTGATCAACTCAGTCTTAGATGCTTTGCCAACATATTTGATGTCAGTTTTTCCTCTCCCCCCTAAGGTGGAGGAAAGAATTGATGCATTAAGGAGGAATTTTTTGTGGAATGGAGAGAAAGAATACAAAGGATTTCATTTGGTCAAATGGAAGACTGTAATTCTTTCAAAAAAACAAGGTGGGTTAGGCATTAGAAACCTGAAGAAACAGAACAAAAGCCTTATGATGAAGTGGTTGTGGAGATTTCCTAAAGAGGAGCAGGCTCTTTGGGTTAGAGTGATTCAGGCCAAGTATGAGAAGATAGATCACTGGAAAACTAAGGAAGTGACTTCTACCTATGGTATTAGCCTATGGAGATCAATCAGAAATTTGTGGCATTGTTTCTTTCAAAGAACTAGATTCAATATAAACAATGGAAGAAAGATTTTATTTTGGGACGATAATTGGTTAGGAAATGGCAGCCTCAAACAGCAGGCGCTTTCCAGACATCTACTTGTTGAATCAGCAACATGAGGCCACTGTGCAAGAAGTTTGGTCCATCCGTGGATGGAACTTAACATACAGAAGGATGATACAAGACTGGGAGGTGGATAGACTAGCTGAATTTTATGGCACCCTGGACCATTTTGGAGGATTGAAAGAGGGAGAAGACACTCTTACGTGGATTCATCACAGCAAAGGTATCTTCACAGTTAGCTCTGCCTACAAGAACCTGAATCAAATGGGGACTCAACTCAGATTTTTGCCTTGGAAGCTTATCTGGAAAGTCAAAATCCCATATAAGGTGGCAGTCTTTACTTGGTTGATAGTTAAAGAGGCGGTACTAACACAGGAGAATCTAATGAAGAGGGGAATACATGTGTCCTAGATGTTTTTTGTGAGCTACAGGCAGAGACAATCAACCATCTGTTCTTCATTGCAAGGTGGTCAGACAATTGTGGCACTTATTTACCAGCTTCAGGGGCACAAACTGGACCATGCCACAAAGGGCAAGTCAGGCTATAGAAAGCTGGAACACTGAAGGCAGTGGCAGTATAGACCAAAGCAGATGGAGAATTGTCCCAGCAGTGATTTGGTGGACCATATGGAAGGAAAGAAATATGAGATGCTTTGAGAGTATTAGTAGTCCCTTACACAAGATCAAAACGAATTGCATAATCACTTTTTGCTATTGGTGCAGTTTGGAGTATGTAGATGATCCTATAGTTGTTATAGATATCCTAGGTTATTTGTAAGTTGAAGTAGGTTCTAGTTTTGTTTTGTTTTGAGTACTCACAACTGTATGTAGCTCCATGATGTAAATTTGGGATCCCAGCCTTCAGTGTTGAAGATTAATACACAAAACTGTTACCTTTGTCAAAAAAAATAAAAAAATCTTATTCTTACCTTCTAAATATAAAAAAAGGATCTAGGTATTTGAAACAACATAGGAACATAATTTGTAATTTTGTTTGGTTAAAAATAATTTGAAAAAATTTCTAGTCAAAGAAACACTATGGTAGTTCTGAAATAGTATTAGGGACAATCCTTTTGGGGTTGACATAATATATATGAAATAAATGCTCAGTAGTGCATATAACTTTTCAGCAATTGGATGTTTGTTTACTAATTTATTCCTCTTGAGAAGCCAACCAAACAAAGAACAAGTAATAGTTAAAAGTCCAGTCAGTTATTTGAGGCTAAGCAAAGTTGAATAAGTGCTAACGCCAAAGGGAACATATTTGAGCTCGATCAGGTTCTTTTGGCATTTATAAGCAGCTGAGAAAACTTGGGATTCTTTTTTTCTTTTCATCTCCTATTTCATTTATTTTTCCAAGCTAATCCAGAAATATCACCTGGGACAAGGCCAAAGCGGAAAAGGCAGATAGCAGGGATAGATCAGGAAGAATTACAAGACCCAGCTATTCTAGCAGACCCTGATAGTTGTTTTTGTGAGTTTAAAGGAGTACAAATACACCATAAGATATATGATGCAGAATCAGTTGCTACAAACTTTTCAGAAGAAGGAACTATTTCTCAACCTCCTCATGCTAATAAAAGAGTGAATTTTCCTATGATTTTATTACATGGCTTTGGTGCCTCTATTTTTTCATGGAATCGGGCTATGAAGCCCCTAGCACAAATCACTGGGAAAAAAGTTCTGGCCTTTGACAGACCAGCCTTTGGGTTGACGGCAAGGCTGAATCATGTCAACCATTCATCTCAGGGAAGTGAAGACACAAGACCTTTTAATCCATACTCCATGATATTCTCTGTGTTGGCCACTCTATACTTCATTGACTTCTTAGCAGCTGAGAAGGCAATTCTAGTGGGGTAAGTTCTATTCAAAGTCTACTTTGATTTTTCTTGGATGACAAAATCTGAATTTGAATATTTCCATTATGAACGGTTATGGATTTATATATTTTGACTTATCCAAGAAAAAGCTGTGGCTTCATTTAGCTTGAAATTATTGCAGTGAAATAACATTCTTATAGTTATATTTTAGTTTCACTATGCAAAGACAATGATCCTTCGCTACCCCAATTATAATAAAAGAAATGTGAAATAACGGGAATGGTGAAAATAAAGTTCAACGAAAATCAGATGTGTGTTTCCAAATGAATGACTGGCCTACTCTAGGATGAACTTTTACGCAATAAGAATTTAATGGTTGTATTCAGTCATTATATGCATTACCTCTCTCTCTTCTATATCTAATTTCAATCTAGATATAGCTTGAAATTATTGCAGTGAAATAACATTCTTATAGTTATATTTTAGTTTCACTATGCGAAGACAATGATCCTTCGCTACCCCAATTATAATAAAAGAAATGTGAAATAACGGGAATGGTGAAAATAAAGTTCAACGAAAATCAGATGTGTGTTTCCAAATGAAGGACTGACCTACTCTAGGATGAACTTTTAGGCGATAAGAATTTAATGGTTGTATTCATTCATTATATACATTGCCTCTCTCTCTTCTATATCTAAAATAATCTATCAGTATTGTTACTCTTTCTGAATTGACTGATTAGATTTCTATTCCAAATAATTTACTGCAAAAGGTTGAAAGTGTCTTTATTTGGTCAAGACGAAGTAGATATGTAATTCCCAATGAGAGGATAGTGTGCTTCAACTTGTCCTTTGCTTGTAGTATTGCCCTCCTTCCCTTTGCTCTTCCTATTTGATTTATCAAAGATGTCACTTTTATCGGTAACTAATGAGATATACCAGACACTCAGCTGGTTCCATTGTAGCAGTTGAAGCATATTTTGAAGCACCTGAGCGAGTTGCTGCCCTGATACTCGTTGCCCCTGCAATTGTAGCACCCCTGAATTTAGGGCATGTAACAAAGGACAATTCAAGTGGAAAAAGTAACCAGACTGAAGGTGAGGAATTGGAAGTGAACTCTAAAGGGAATTGGTTTACCACGGTTTTCAGCATTTTGTCAAAGGTATCCCAATATCTTGGACAAGCAATAATGCGTTTGGTGAAAGGGATGGGAGACATGATAAACTCTTTATATAAGAAAGCTTTATCTGCATTCTTGCGTTCTGCCGTTGGTATTATGTTGGTATGTACTCTATTTTGGATCTTCTAATCTATTTATTGAACCTAATTTTCCTTTCTGAAAATTTACATCATGAAGCCTTGTGAAATTGAAATTAGGTCTATACTTTATAGTTTCCAATTTTTGAAAATTGGTTTTTGAGTGAGAAATCCTCCCGGACATTCTTGAAGAAGTTAAACAAGAAGGTGAGATGAGTTATATGTGTAGTGCAAGTCCATGGAACATGTCAGCTGCTGTTGGCTTAGCAGCTCTATTACTTATTTGATCTTTCTGACATTTATTTGAGGATAGATTTGATATATTTATGTTTCAGAAATAGATGGAAGAATTCTTATGAGCTTTTATTAGTCATTTGCAACATATGCAAAATGAGAAAAATACTTGATTACCACTCTATAAAACTTGATTAAAATGGGTACAATAATGACTACCATTTTCTTTCAGGTAAGAATGATAATTGATAAGTTCGGCTTAGCTGCTGTTAGGAATGCTTGGTATGATCCTAAACAAGTTGATGATCATGTCTTGCAAGGCTATACAAAGGTGATTCCTTGGCAGCTAGTTGTTTCCAACTAGATGATGGGTTTGGTTTTTTCTTTTGGGCTTGTATTTGATTTTTCAGGTATGCAACCTGGTTTCATTGTGCATTGTTGTCATGTTTACTCTTTTAATATCTGCAGCCTCTCAGAGTAAAAGATTGGGATAGGGCTCTGGTGGAGTATACCGTGGCTATGCTTACAGATTCTGCATCTGAATCAAAACTACCACTGTCAAAGAGACTAAGTGAAATCTCATGTCCTGGTTAGAAAATCATCTATGTGGCACCAAATTGAATTGATATTGATAACTAAAAGAAAACATTGGATTTCAAAATAATTAATAGAAAAGCAAGCAAGATCTCAAGTGAATATGAAGTACTGAAAAAACAATTATGCTATATAACCAACAACTCTTGACTACCAAATAACCTTTGATTGCACCATTCTTTTCTAGGCTACTCCCTTATACTGGAAAAGTGTGTCATATGCTTTAGTTCTGTCATGTTCCTTTTACATTCTTGGATTTGTGATAATGCTATGTTCTAAGAAACATATTATCGTAAAGTTGCATGATAAACAATAGACTCCAGTTACACAGTGAATACACAAAGTTCCTAATACTGTTTTTTTCTGTCAGTTCTGATTATCACTGGTGACAGCGATCGACTTGTTCCGCCATGGAACTCTGAAAGACTTTCACGGGCCATTCCTGGATCTTGTCTTGAAATAATCAAGAATTGTGGCCACTTGCCCCATGAAGAGAAGGTTGACGAATTTGTATCCATTGTTGACAGATTCCTTGAAAGAGCTTTTGGGGTGCAGAAAGAGTCTGATCTGCAACCGGCAACTTGAGATTGATACTTTTTCCAGTTCAACTTGGCCAGGATTGACATCTATTGGTGAGCATTAAGTTTGACACTTGAACTGCCTACTAAAGTTCATATATAGGAAATCATTAAGCTCTTCGTCAATTATACTCAATTCTATAAACACCTATCAGTGCATTCCATAATATAACGTAGGTGGCTTATAGTTGTTTAAGTAAACATTGATTTCTTGTCCCTTGAGACATGTAAATATAATACACCATGTATCTTGAGAGTTGTAAATCTTTACTTCAGCTTATTACAAAGCAGCTGAAATCTCTGTTGTTACACAAGAAGCCTGAGATTTGCAGATACAAACTGAAACATCTATGCAGATTTTTGTGATAACCTCATTGCACTCATCGTATTTCAATAGATGGCATTCCATCTTCAGACAAGGGGATCAAGGGATATGGTGAGAGAGGGATCCTGTAAACCATGAGGCAGATCAAAACCAGACATGAAGTCATCTCCAAATATCATAGCACCGGCAGCTAATGCCCCTGCACCTACTCCCATTCCAAAACCAGGTCTAGCATTTCGTGCTGCTGAAGTTCCAGTTTGTGGCATGTTTAAATAACTAGGCAGCATGTTATTTGTTCTTGGGAGGAAAGTTGGAATATAACCAACATTAGCAGGTGGAGGTGGAGGTGGGGGTGGAGTACGCGGCGGCTGATAGCTTGGTCCTGCTGCTTGTGTGTAGCTCGGTCCCGCCACAGGTGGATGTGAATAATTTGTAGGATATGGCACTGGATGTGCATATTGGTGATTTGTCTGTGATTGGCTCTCCAGCATTTGAGACGGGGTTAAAGATTGTGGTTGTAGGTATGCTGATGCAGGTTTATATCCATTAGTCAAGTTGAAGCCGCTGCTGTTATCCGCAAGCTTAAATCCCTCCTTTTCACCTAGTTTCAAACAAGATGTCGTCAAAAATGGAAAATTCTCAGTCAAGACTCGCAATAGTATGGTTCTTCATCCAGGTATTACTATCTGAATCAATACAAACTAGTGTCTTTTCTCTAAGGATCTGTTTCATAGAAGATGAATAACTACATAAATCATGAAGTCGAAAGGAACAAACAGCAACTTAAGTTTATACCTGGTTGTGAACTAGATTCTTCCCTCTCCTCCGAAACTCTGATAGAGACATCGATAAATCCCTGAGGTTTATTCGAGTTCTTTTTCCGCAATTGAAAGCTCCCAACTTCTTCAATTGGCTTCGAAACCTCAGAGTTCTTATTGTACTTGTCCAGAAATTCTTTCAAAAGCACAGTAGCTGTTCCCATGAGTTTTTCTCTAAGAAAAATGGGTTCTCTACTGTAAACTTCAACATTTAGGGCCAAATCCTGGAGAGAAGTGTCAACCAACATTGAGAATTTGGTTTTCCAAACAGGATTTGCATTGCCTGAAGAATCAATCTTGGAACAGTACTTGTTGTTTGGATCAATCCATCCAACGGCATACCATTGAAGCTTCCACAAAGCCGATGTTCGCCGGAGTCCCCTGGCGGAAATCAGGCAGATTTCAATCCATATTTTACCCATCTTAGAGAAAAAGATAGATTTCAGCTTGATTGATACAAATGGTGATAGAATTTGTGCCCTCAAAGGTTCTTTTCTTGATAAAAGTGATAATGGAAAGGTATAAAGCTGTTTTGCATCATATTAAGACTACTACCTTACTTTTATGCAAAGGATCCCTTACTTTATACTATTATCAAAGTTCTGTTAAGAGATATCTAGGTACTTTTTTCCCCATATTATGACTCACAAGTCAATCAGAGGGGGACAGGAATCAGAACAATAGTCAAAAGTTTGCAACAGGACATTGTTAAAAAATGAACTTCAACGGTTCACGAGAAAGTAATTTAGGGAAAACTATACAAATTTGACCCATTAGATAAAATATTTACTCAAATTGGACTCAACCCAATATACTTATCTTGATTGGGCCCACGTCCCAAACTATTTACCTCTGATGATATCTATATAATATGATGGTATGGAGTAGTAATTGAGCAGTTTTTTCACTTAAATATTTTTTGTTCCTCCTTGATGCATCAGAGTATATATACTTTAATGGCATCAATGAGTAATTGAATAGTATTTTTACTGAAGCACTGTTTCTTCCTCTTTGATATGATTGTATCCAGTGCCGGCTCTTGCCTATAAAATTTTAGGCGTTGGCCTTATTGGGGGCCTCAAATTTTTGTAAATAAAAAATTATGTATTTTAACCCCATTCAAATAGAAGAAATTAAGGAAACATTGTTTTGGATTCTTACATTTTCTTCGTTAACACTCACATTATTTATCCTTTGTAACTCTTTTTGCACTCTATTTCTTCAAATCTTTGATAGTTAGAGTAATACACTCTCAAAAATATGAATCAATAGTCGAAAAGTGTTGAACAAAGTGCATTACAAATTCTTTTTTTTAATTTATTTGTTAATTTTCATATTAAAGTAGGTATACCAAGTTATCAACTTTTTGAATCAGATTCTATGATTCTAACTCTTATCTTTAAAGTTTATCAACCTATTACTTATAAAATTGTGTTAATAATTCATATAATAATTGCCTCAATAAGAAGATGTTTTTCAATGTTGAATTGATAAAATCTTACTTAAAACTAATAATTAAAAAAAAGTATTTGAAAAATCATTTATATAAAAGATATTAAGTAGTAATTTACATCTAGAAATTTAGAAAAATAAATAGATATAGATAAAATTTATATAGATTTTAGGCCTCTAATAAAAATTTCGCTTTAGGCCACAAATTATGTTGAGCCGCCCCTGATTGTATCTAAAAACAAGGGTATGAAAGTAAGATGTAGTCACTTGTAAATAGTTTTCCTTTTTTGGTACAAGTATTATTTTTCCAGTAATTTATCCACCAACTTTACGCCTCTACTGCAACTATAATATTGATCCCTAAAGAAATTTTACTGTAAAACATATATCTAAAAGGTGTGAAATATAGCTGACTAGCTGTGTATATACTTTGGTATGTATCAAAATCAAAATTTCTGGCATTACAGTTCTAGTATTACGGTATGTAGTATATATATATAACCTTATTATTAGAGAAATGTTTGGAACAAAGTAGCTCGCCTAAAAGGAAAGGAACTCTAACCTTTTGGAGTTTTCGCCCTTACTTAGGTTAGGAGGTCGTTAAACCGTAACTTGCTGCTAAAAACATTGCTAGGCTAGCGCGGCTCGCTTCGCGCTAGACCTTGCAAGTCCTGTTTCTTATTGGTTTCAATAGTATGGGAAATTGGGGGTCAAGTTTCGATCGAGCTAGTTTGAAAGTACCTTTGATGAAAGTCTTCAAATTCGCTCACATTACGATTGCTTTCCAGAATGAGCCTTGAAGGCTTCTATCGTTCCGAACTTTACGAAAGGCTGCTAGACCAAGGTAGAAAAAAAAAAGTTAGGCTTCAATTAATACCCCATTTAGCGGGACAATTCGGGACGTATCACCTAGCTAACCTGGAGAAGGAAGGAAGAAAAGTTTTTGCCCCAACGAACTGATTCATGTTCTTAACAGGCTTCTTGACTTCATTTCTAGCCACTCTTGAAAGGTCTTGCACGAAGGGAGCCGTGCTAGCCTAACAATGTTTTTCAGTAGGAAGTTATGATCTAATGACCCCCTAACCTAGGTTGTGGAGAAAACTCCAAAATCCAAAACACTGGTTAGGTTCCTTTCCTTTTAGGCGAGCTACTTCGTACAAAAATACATGGTTAAATATATCATCTACATATATTTGCTTATTATATAGATGCTAATAACTTTGATTTTCTACTTATTAGATTATGTAAACTTAATACTAATTTCTTATCTTGATTAAAATGTCCTTTATGTGATTATTTATTCACAAAGGGAATTGCTTTTGCTTTCCTTGAATATGCCATTATGTTGAAAGAGGTGAAAATATGGTATTAATTGAGATGTTTCTTGAAGAGTTGAAGTCATAATTCTACTATAGGTAAGTCAGAAGCTTAACAACTATGGGTGTGTTTGGTATGAAGGAAAATGTTTTCCTGGAAAACAAGTTGATTTTTTGACTTATTTTCTCATGTTTGGTTGGTGACTAGAAAATATTTTTTGGAAAAGATTTTTAGTGTTTGATTTATGAATGAAAAATGTTTTTGAGAAATATCTTTTATTTTTACTAGAGTAGAAAATAATTTTTGAAATTGAAAATATTTTTTAAAAACAAACTTTTTTTTTTTTTTGGGGGGTGTGAAAAAATGAAATTTAGAAGTTGAAAATATTTTTAAAAACAAACTTAATTTTTTTTTTGG